TGACGTGTCGGTTAACTTCATGTCCATTTTCAAGTATTGACCTCCGTGTGCTTAGCACGTGTGTTCTTAATTTCTTATTCCATGCCAAATCTTACAATTTGAATTAGCGTATTATTTACAAAACTATTATCTTATATGGTTGTTTATTAAACTAAAAATAAGGATTAAAAAAAAACAACTTTGAATTTGAATGGTACTTGACCTTTATTTGTCCCATCATGCTATTTAATATCTGTGTAGAATATTGAACATTTGAAGATTTTCAGTACGGAGAGGGGAAAAAAAGGTTTGTTTGGGGGGGGGGGGGCAGCGTGCGTGTCACGTTATTTATTAATACTACGTTAGTCTTTAGTTTTTGGTTATTCTGAAAATTTGCGCTCCTAACATTTTGTCTCCCCTTGCCCAAAGGGTATAAAATAAATAAAAAAAATTTTTTTGTGATGTCACTCGTCGTAGTCATGTCGTTATTTCTGACTCCGCAGTTTCACATGTCTTGCCACATAGGGGTAGGGCTCATTGAAACTCCACCATTTCTAAAGCACAGTTACTAATTAGTGGGTATGTACTTGATAAGCTTGTCCACACGACCTGCCCGCAGTACGAAGGCTTGTTCCTGACCCCGTTCTGTGATATCCGGATCAATCTAGTCCTTTATTATAATTTATTTTGTTACGTTTGTAATTCAGTGTAAACAATTCTTTTAAAAAAAATATTTTAAAAAAATGTAATTTGTAAAAAAAAAAAAAGAGAAAGAAAACAAATAGCCTCACGCCGTTTCCTGATTAATCTGTAGGCCTACCATTTCAGAACTGTCATGTTTTTTAATGCTGGAGAAATACTTAGTGGCGTAACGAGTAGAGTATGTGGGGACAGCGGTCCCTTCACCATAGTGATTTTTTAGAGAAGGGGCACAGTTACGAAAGCAGAAAATATATTATATTTTATGAAACCACGTATTTTTACCCCCCCCCCTTCCAAACCACGGTATACCCACAAAAGGAACGGTTGAGGCGACAACACTAGACACATTTGTGTCTATTGCCTCAAGCCTTCAAACCCCAAGTGCATGATTCCCTCACAAAGTGGCACAGGAAATCTGTGAAATTTCCTCATCAACACCAGTAACAGAAACATTGCAAATCCCATCTACATGCATAGGAGCCTAAATGATCAATAAATTGATCGTGGGCCCTTAAGATATAGAAGAAGAAGAAGAAAACAACAAGAACAAACTATTTAATAAACGAAGCTTCGCCCCTGCTTCTTCCCGGAGATCACCTTTTTTTCGCAAAGGAAAAATAATTCAAAGGTCTTATAAGTTTTATTATATGCTAAAAAAACAAACAAATGCGATGTGTTTTAAAAGTAAAGTGGAAGAGATGTACTCAGCAAACTCTGCAGAGTGGAAGAGATATACTCAGCAAACTCTGCAGAGTGGAAGAGATGTACTCAGTAAACTCTGCAAGAGTGTTAAAGCTATTCAAATCTAATGCACGGAACTACATTTATTTAAGTCCAAAATTCGGCACATGGTTAAGCCCGTCTGATGTGCTTTAAACAGTTGAGAATGAATAATTAACCATCTCTTATGATCCTTTCAAATTAGCAAGTCAAGTATTCTAGAAAATAAACAGGTAAAAACATGAATTGTGTCCAAATAAAGTCATCACAACAACAATATCAGTAAAGGTTTCTGCGTATTCATTTTATGGAATAATAATGGCACTACTTCAGCAAGGGTGCCTAGCGCAAAACTGGACCTTAAACTAGTACGTTGTACATAACGCATGCCTAGCACACTATAGGGCCTTAAACTAGTAAGTTGTACATAACGCATGCCTAGCACACTAGTGGGTCTTAAACCAGTACTTTGTAAGTAACACAACAGGGTTAGGATGACATTGTTATGATGGCGAACAATGGGTAGCGGCACGTGTGCCCATGACACACCATTGATAGGGGGCAAGTCTGTCAATGGCTCAACATGAATAGAGGAAAGTGTGCACATGACACACCATTGATAGGGGGCAAGTTTGTCAATGACTCAACATGAATAGAGGAAAGTGTGCACATGGCACACCATTGATAGGGGGCAAGTTTGTCAATGACTCAACATGAATAGAGGAAAGTGTGCACATGGCACAACATTTACGGGAGGCACGTGTGTACATGGATGTCTACAGGAAGAAAAAAAAAAGTGCAAATTAGCTGGCTGGAAAAACGCTTATAAATAAAACGTGGTTTTAATATCTTGTATTTCTGTCCCGTGATATTAATATCTTGTATTTCGGTATCGTCCACGGAAGATAGAAATAAGTCAAAGGACTTCCTCCCAAATACTAGGTCTACATATCACATAAAAACATCGTAAAAGCCATTTGTTGTCTCCGTTGATGCATTTCTGTCTGTGGCCATGTAGACGGGCAGCCGTGTGAGAGGTGTTTTGATGCAGTGTCTGCACATCTAAATAGAGCAAATGTTTTTACAAGGTGATTATACTTAATCAAATCCAATTACGTGGCTAATAATATCTCTCTTACGCCCACACCCACACCCCTCCCAATTCATCCAACGCTCTAGCTTGAATACGTATTACTAACTCTCGGAACTATCTTTCAGTGTCCTATGACTGAGATTACCGAAATCCTTTTTAAAGGGAGACAAATGTTGCACTGAGTTGCGGCCCACACCCAAACAACGCAATGGTTAACCTTTGCCCTTCTCGTGGAGGTGACCTATCAACTACAGTTACAATGGATGAATCACTCCACAGACTACGGACGAGATTCAAAAGTTAATACAATTGCAAATGAGTATCTGTTCCATACTTTATACAAAGGCTGACCCAGAATATATTTCGTCCACTAAAATTGCATCCCTACCAAGCTTGAGCAAATATACATCCATCTATTTAATTTAGATGTATACATTAAAATTAAAATCAAGGGGAAACAATGATACTGGTAGACACAGTTGAATAGCTTGAATAATGCCGCCACCGGGGGGGGGGGGGAATTTCCAAGAGTGTGCCCCTTAATACCCACAATTCGTCTACATGTTATAAATCTTATAAATGATGTATAAATCTCAAAGAAAATAAGTAGGCCTAGGCCTATTTTGAATTTTTTTTAAATTTAAAAAAGAGATGGACAAAATATAATTATTAAAATTATCATTGTCTTTTGTGACATAAATTAGCATGGGTGGAAGAAGCCAACTTTTTAAACTCTATTTTAACAGTCTGGAAAACGCTTCTTTTCACTTCCCTCCAAACATTTTATAAATAATAGTCAAAATCAGGTAAAATATTTCCACCTTAACAGCCGGCTGAAGCTTTAAATATTTTGAAATCAATTTTGTAAAGGAATTAAATGGTTGGCTGCTGTGGAAAAGCGTAGTTAGAAAATGCACAGGGAGTCCACCAAGGTTGAGAACTGTTCCTGTTGATAGTATTTTCAAATGATTGTTTCATCCATACAAATTGTTTGGATGAATTTTATACCAAAAAGAATTGTGTTGTGTTTCATACCTGAAGGATTGTGCCGTGTTACACAGCAGCAAACCTGTTAAGTGGGATTAAATTGTGTACCTTGATGACTCAATTTATTAATTACAACTGTCAGACCTGCCCATTAACAACTAGACGCCTATGCACAAGCTCTTCCTTGGACCAGGAATACAAAGATTTTTTCATTCTAATTTTTTAAAAACCCATTTTATTAGAGGAGTTAATTCTTTTATTTTACTAAATGAAAATGAATGTATGTTAATCTGGTTATTTTGATATTGAAGACTGGGCTAATACATTTAGATTGACTTGTTCCTGTTTGAACAAACAGTTTGTTATGCCTGAGAAAGTGAACACGAATGCTTTGTGGTGGAGTGCAAAATATGATTTTGGCCATCAAGGAGGAAGCATATCACTCTGTTAAAAACACTTTTTTTTTACCTATGTTTGAGATAAATTATTTTATGTTAAGGAGATCAGCTTAGTTTTAACTCTCGAATCTTGAGACGTTTAAACCTTTTTCTTTTACCAATATTACACATATTTTAGTCATCAAATTTAAAACTTTTCAAATTTTTTTTCCAAAGGCTGTTTTATTTGCTGTCATTCTTTTCTACCATTACATTACAGTCTAGTTTAAGTTAAACGATTGAGATACTTTGCCAAGTACACCTGTGTCAGCATCAGTGTCCTCACTGAAGGACACTATCAACAATATGTATGAGATAATTATTTTGAACTAAGAGTGCCATTGATGATGATCATGCAGAGTCAAGGGTTTTACAGCAAGTTAAACACATGAGACTGAGTCTCGAGTCTTACAATGCAGGACTTAAGAGAACAAAATGTAGAGTTTTTCTTGTTTACACTTTAATATAAAAAAATAAGCATCAACATTGTACAGTTAGAACATCATTGCTGTAACATCATCAGCTCAAGTCAAATGGTTAGAACATCGCTGATATAACATCATCAGCTGAAGTCAAACCGTTAGAACATCATCGATATAACATCATCAGTTGAAGTTAAAGTCAAACGGTCTAAAGTCTGACTTGAATTTGGCTGCATAGTCTAACTCCTCTTCTTTTTCAAGCTTGCAGTTTTTCCAGTCTACCCTTTCTGGCATGTTAAGAATGGCTGGTTCACATACAGCTTCCCTGGCAAGTGAACAATCAAAATTATAATAAAAATGAAGTGTGGATTCAATAATGTCATATGGGGCTATAGAAGATTATAAAAAAGAAGTTAAATATAATAGTAAACATGCCTGCTTGGCCTAATGATAGAAAAATGACGCATGGAACTATTTTACCAATACAAAAAAAATGATTTGATTTAATTTCCATTGATTGAATTAGTTTGTCTATGTAAATAAAGTATTTTTTAAAATCTTAAGAAATATCTTGCCATTCTTATTATGCAAGCTGAAAAAAAAGAAGTAGAAGTGAAATGATTATTTAACAAGACTCAACAGATTATTGAAAGTATTTATTTAAAAAACACACCTTCCAAACTGTAAAGGAAATTGTTTTGAAATTCTGTGCAAACATTTTTCTCCAGTCGGTAGTTCAACATAGAAGTAGGGTGCACCCTCTGGTACAATCTGAATGGAGATGGTAAAATGAGCAGTGATACTTTTAGATCAGGGCATGTGTTGTGTATGTTTTTAGACTGTGTACGACTGGCCCTGTAAATGCTGGTTGTGTTGGTAACATAGTCAAATGATAGGTTGCTGTGCCAACTCATTGGCCACATCAGTTAATTTATACTGATTTATCAGATAACAAAAGTTTTAACAGAGTCAAGTAGGGTGGCACTGATTGATTTGACTCACTTGTTTGAGGTCTGAATGTTTTGGAATCTCAGCCAACTCAATGGACTCAGACTCAGCACAGGCCATGAACGTGTCCTTGATGTCAACTACTGAGTCTTGGGGAATAGGGACTGCCTGAAAATATAAACAAATAAATAAAAAAATGGAATTATAATGTCAGTTTAAAATTTACGATATACTCATTTTTTAAAGTTAAAATATATATAGTGAAAAAAAACAAAAAAAAACAAATGAGAAAAATAATAAGTGCTTCCCATTGAAAACATGTGATGTTAATATTATCATATTAAAATCTGTTTATTTAACATTAACAGAATCACTTTAAATCTTCCTAATTCTAAATCATCATTTCCCAAACGCATTGGCAATAAAAGCAAAATACTAGGCTGGCAAAAAAAAAAAATAAAAAGGGTAATTTTTTTGTATTATCATGATAAAAATGTTACTCGATTATGATGCATAAGATAAAGAATAAAAATAAACAGGCCATGGGGGGAAAAAAGTTTGGGAAACAGGCTGTTCTGAATAAATCATATTCTCGCTAATCTTATGATTTTACTATCTTGAAATTAAAAGCCTGGGTTCAGAATAATCCCTCTCATTTTGTGACTATCGACTGAATCAAGGTGTCTCATTGAACTGACCTGGATCTGCAGGTGCTGAGTCCTAAAATTTCTCTCAAAGAAGACAACACTTTTACCCTGGGACTTGTACATCTTACGTAGACAAGCTTTGTATGTGACATGGGGTCAAGGAAGTCATAGAGAATCACATACAGAAATAGTATGTCACATGTTCAGTTAGTAAATGAGCATATTATATTAGTAGTTTCTTCACTATGTGAAAACATTTGTTTTATCAACCAAGTCAGCTGGAGTGTTGAATTTGCAGTTTTTTAATTATAATTTGGTTTAAAACAAAATAATATTTCATTTCATTAAAAAATAAATTCCTGATTAACCTGCACATTGCGTGTGATTGCGGTAAACAACTGTTACATTTAGTGCATATGCAACATTTAATCAAGAGACTATTTGATTAGAGTATAATTGAAACAAATCTTTTTAGGCTAACAAACTATAACATTTTAATTTTTCATTTACACCAAGCTGTCATCGACAGTATCCTCCTCTAGCTATAAGAAATGTTTAGTGATATATTAAAGGATATTTGTCAATCTGCTCAATCCCCTCGTCAGGGCAAGCAACCAGAGACTGGTGATGATAAACAGGAATAATCAGGACATGGTCTGGCACTAAACCCCCTTTGGCAAGGGCCACGTACACCTGGGAGAAGAAAATAACATCGGCTGTAATTTTACCATAGAAAGTAGTTCCCTGGTTTGGGGGGATATTTTAAACTGGTCACTTCGCAAAATATCAGCAAGACCCACCTGGTCTGCAACACTGACCACCAGGTGCTTCTCCACTTCAGGACTTCCCAAACAAAACCAGCATGGACCAGCTGGCTGTGCTGAAAATGAAATAAGAAGGAAATAGGACATAATGGAAAATTATATAACATGTAAACAAAACATTAGCTAAAATAATCTTTTTTTAATCCAGGCTACAGCTATGTCTACTGACATGCACAATTTTACTCTCTGAATGGTTGGGATAAGGGCAAAAAATAAATATAAAAAACAACTAAAAGCCACATGAATCACATTTTTTCAATACTTGTATTCAATAAAACCAGACCTGTTTACCCTCAAACTCTTAAAATCGTACAATATGATCACAAAAACGTTCAATACCTTATATTTATAGTAAAAAATAAACATACAGTATATTTAATGTATATACCTCAAAATCTTACATTTTATGCCAAAATCGTAAGAGTAAACAGGTCTGATAAAACCATCTTTGACAGAAATTTCTTGAAAATACCAAATTCAACTATTACATCAGGCTGTTTTACTATTCAAACACTTCCACAGCTATAAAGTAATTTAGAGAAATGTAAACTAAAATCAATTTTTTGACTCCATGTTAGTGAAACAGACTTACGATTTCGCCTAGGTTTCTTTTCCTCATCGTCCCTGTTTCTGAAATCTCTTCCGTGCTCCCCCCCTCTTCCTCTCCCTTCTCTGTCACCTCCACGCTTTCTGCCTCTTTCTTCTTGTTTTGCATTCATGTCATAGAAAAACTGCTGTCCAGTCTCTTCCTTCAAAGAAAGAAACACTTCAATGATTTAATTAAGCTCATCACTAATGTAATATACAGCAGGAAAGTAATTTTCTTTCTAACAGTTGATTTTATGCGCACATCTCACTGTCATATATTAAAAAAACACTGATGGAACTGGAACATTGGGGTGAAGCTTTAAGTTAAAACTGTGTTCCATTTTAAAATCTTGACAAATTATTTAAGCCTGATAAAGTAAAAAAAATAAGAATGTTATAAAATTTTAATAAGGGAACATATAAAAAACAGATATTTGGTAATGTGAAGTCCAATTCTAGCAATACTAGTAACTAAGTTAAATTTTGACCATAATTGAATATTTTAATGAGCCTAACTCATGGTCAATTGGAAATGTTCAATTAACTTGTACAAACAAGTTTAGATGTTAACACACCAGTAAACACCTGTTTAGATGTTAACACACCAGTACACACCTGTTTAGATGTTAACACACCAGTACACATCTGTTTAGATGTTAACAACTCAGTACACACCTGTTTAGGTGTTAACACACCAGTACACACCAGTTTAGGTGTTAACACACCAGTACACACCTGTTTAGATGTTAACACACCAGTAGCTACATATGGACACTCTGTTACATCCTCAGGTTGTTTGACGAGTTCAGAAGGGTCCATTTTTGACATGGGAACAATGTTGAAGGCATAGAGATACTGAAAACAATAAACACTGTTAGGTAAAGAAAACAATCACTGTTAAATTTTTATGTATTTTAAAATTGTGCACACTTATTTCAAACTGAGCGAAACACTGGTCAAAATCTTCATCTGCAAAGTTAGGTATTAACCAGGAAAATTTAATTGCACCATAAACCTAATCGGTTGCTAATAGGTCAATCTTCCATAGCACTCATAATTTCCCTTTTTCTAATTTAATTCCTATCTCTAGCTCAATTTTCTTGAGCTAACTATCTTTTTCTTCTTTCTCTCTTTGAGCATCTAGCTCCAATTGTTTTAGATTTAGTTGGGAGCTCCATGATAAGATCTTTTTTTTTTTCATTAACTGAGGCCAGATCATCCTCAGACAACAGATCTTTATTTACTAAGTGGAGGATTATTAAATCTGTCTTTTTTTAAAGCAGAATGAGCTACATTTATACCTAACTCTTTCACAATGGAATAAAAATCTTGTTTATTAAATCTCTGTCTTTTTCAAAGCAGAATGAGCTACATTCATACCTAACTCTTTTTCAATCATTACACTATTGATGGGTTGTTTACATCAAAGTTCATTTTGAAACAAGTAAATTGTAAGAATAAATATTTTATAAACTAACAAGCTTAATAAGCACATTTATAACAGTAAAATTAAGTTACTAGCTCTAGTATTTGCAACGTTAAAGGTTTAGAGCAACAAATGTGTTATTTTTAACTGTAAAAAAAATGGATAAAAATCACCGTACAAACACCAATTTTTTTTTTATTGGTGGCAGTAAAAAAAAAATTGGTTACAATCCCAGGCGAGCCCCAATTTGTTATGTACTATTATGGTTTTGAAAGTTTAATCTGTTTTAAGATTGGCTCATAGAAAGAACAATACGTAGCAAAGTACTGAGAAATATAGTATGCAAAGAAAACAATAGCAAAGCTCTCTTAAAATCTTACAATATTCAATTTAATTACACAATCAAAGTTATATAAAAATTAAAAAGGGAAATAAAAATTATACCAACTTACAGCAAGTAAATAGGTATACTCCTTGAAAAATACAAATATTTTTTTTACACACACACATAAAGAGTACAATCATTCACTTAAATAACATCTCAAATATGTTTGAAAATACAACAAATATCTAGCGCTCGGCTAGGAAAGCTTCCGACCTATTGTACAGATCAAATCACCAACCTATACATACAGATCAAATCAGAACGATTTAGTGAAGAAATGATATAAATTAAGTCACCTAACAGCATTCTTTAGAACAAATAGAAGGCATTCAAACTTAAACAACCTTTTCCAATCAAAGAAGTAAGGAATAACACAACACATTTACTTGGTGAAGTCAATATCATAGCAAAAAACAGTGGAGACAAGTGGTGGTCACTTAAAAAAAGTGGCCTTAACATATGCAACGTGTAATCGCTTTCTTAGAAATGTGTCTTTTATTTTACAAATATTTCCTTTGGTAAAAGTATACGATTTATTTTTACTTACCTTGTGCTTTACTTTGTTAGCTACATTGGCTAATCCAATAAATCTTGTGGTATGTCTGGCAGCATCTAACAACACTTGGTGATTTCTAAACAAACAAAAATGGAATAATTAAAGAAATGAATGTATGCTGGCTCTCCATGATGTACAAGATAAACAAATGGGCTGGTCCACTGCTCCAGCATTTAACAGAAACTTGTCCCTCTTCACCCTAGACAGAGATGAGGCACTGACAGGCAGTTCCAGCTCATAACAACAAGAACTCTGTACAGGAACTCCTCATTCCTGCCAAAGACATTCAGGGACTGGAACAAGCTTCCAAAAGCAACAGTTGAGGCAACTACACTTGCGTCTATTGCCTCCTGCCTTCCAACCCCCAGTTCCTAATACCATCGCTGAGTAGACCTTAGAACCAGTGAGGTATCCTCTTCAAAACCATGTACAGTTACATCATGAACCCCTCTATAAACATGGGAGTCAGATTGATCAATATAAAGATCATGGGCCCTCAAAATATAGAAGAAGAATCCTTATAGCATTATTTGACACGTTATCTATTTCAAATGATGAGAGCATGTCCAGGTTTTCATTTAAGTTTCCGGAAATGCTCTATAACTGTAAAATAACTATACATTTTAAATGCCACATGAAATATTTAATTTCTTTTAATGTGCTTCAAATCAACAGCAAAAAGAAACAGAGAAAATAACTAAACTTTTTTATCTTAAATCGAGCGCCTCCCAAGGTGGCAGATAGCAAAAGCCCACCAGATATGGCAGTTACAGGGAAATAAAATAACTGGGCGGACCAAAGCAGAACCTACTGCTTTGTAGGAAAATAAAGGCAGCTACCTAGAGAGCTATATCATGACCTATGACAGCATCAAAAGGAAATATTTATATGATACTCTGCAGGAGTTTTGCATACCCGACAAACTGACAAGACTTATACATATAACATATAACAATTCAAAAAGCAAAATCAAGGTTCAGGATGAATATTCTGGCATTTGAGCTAAGACGAGGCCTAAGACAAGGAGACTTATTGTCTTTTACGATATTTTACCTAACATATGAGAGAGTGGGCTGTAGTGCCACCGGGATGGATGGAAGGAAGTGGTGAGGCAGGCAAAAGCCCTAAATGTGTTCTCTGCATAGGAAAAATGTTTTACAAAGAAAATATATAGATTAAAGAAACAACACCAGACTCTAAGAAATTGATTCAAGTTTATTTTGATGAAATGTAACAATTTGAATTTTTTTTACCTGTAAGGTTGTCTCTCATAAAAGATTCCTTCAAGTGCTGCAAAATGGTAACGGGGACGCAGCACTCTAGCTACCTCTGCTATGCAACCTGATCCTGGAAATTTAGGTTCATGCCCTGGCTGAAAAATACATTATCTTAGTGATGTAATAAAAACAATTTTTTAAATTTCTTTTAATAATTTAAATTATAAAATTTGGAAATAACTTTACTCATCACATATTTCAGACAAAGCATATTGATATTATTATAGCCAAATATTTTTAAACAAATTTAGGCACTAAAAAAAAAAAAAGGATTTTACAGCTGATGAGCCATATTTTTCCACATCTTTAGGCCACTGTAAAGTTATCAAAATGTCAATTCCTTTGAAACCAGTATCATTTTTAACAGGGGCGATCAATG